ATGCTAAATGACATAATTTATTATCTAATAAGTGAAAGTGTGCAAAGGATGTTCTTGAAATGTTTATGCAAATTAATATCAACATTATTTAAGTTTGGGGTTATTTTACAGGTTGTATATTTGGTTACTAATTTAACTTTATTCTTTTAGGTTTTTAACGTTTTATAGTTGCATTGAGAAATTCGTAATTCTTTCGGGAAAGAAGATATTTGAAAAATGCTAGAGCGCAGATTTATATTTTGGTAAGATCCGATAGTAGCACTCTCAAGAATTTTCCGTCTAAGTAAGTAGCTTGATAAATCTAAAGCCCTTTCCTTTGCATCGAGGTTTCAACTTTTCACAGAAATATCTGGAATTTACGAAAACGGGCTGAATGTAGTTGTTATTCAGATTAAACTAAACTAGCTTAAGATCGCTGAAATCTAATAAAAACTATTTTCTGTCCATAATATATATTGAAACATGGGTAATAAGAATGATTTAACAACTGCTGAAAAACATAAAATAACAAAGTTACTGAGTGAAGGAATGTTCACATTAGAGATATCAGAGCTTTGCAGAGATCCTCTAACGATGAAGAAGGCTGTGAAAATATAAGTAAGTTGAGACTTCGATGCAAGGGAAAAGGCTTTAAGACTTGCTTACTCGTGATGAACTTAACCTAAAGAGAGAACTAGCTTTTGACCAACGCTCAGATCTTTGAATGAGTTGGAATTGAAAGAGTCAAGAAGGACAAAAGGTATAGAATACTTTGTGAATTGGGATCTGTAAAATATCTCCTAGGCCGTCTACTCTCACTAAAGTAAATATCTTAAAGCGTCAAAATTGGGGCAAGAAATACATGAAAATTGGCTTTTCTAAAGTAATTTTCACTGACAAATCCTGAGTGATATTTGATGGCCATGATGGATGGGTCAAAGAATGGATTTTATCCAATTCAGACGTGTCTGTGGCTAAAAGAAGGCAACAAAGAAGTTATGAAATGAGCTGGAAATGTCGACCAAACAATTATTAGACCATTAACATTCGATGAAGTAGTTAAACTGAACAGTGCTAATTATTGCTATTATGCCAACAAGATTTTCTTTGCATGGTGCAAGGCTCACTCCTGCAGTTTCAAAATGGAGCGTGTATTTATGTACGACAATGCTCCTTCTAATGTATCTAAGTTTACCAGTGAATTATTTGAGCATAAAAGTTACAGGAAAGAAAATAATGGAATCGCCACCATGAAATCCTGATCTAAATCAGATCGAAAATCCATGGTCAGTTGTGAAGATAAATTTATTTGAATGTGGCAAACAATGACAGCAAAACAGACCGAAGGAGAGCAATTAAAATTACCATGTCGGAAATTGAACTTGCTGAAGTAAAAAAAATTTACAAAATCAATGGATAATAAATTACTGGCTGTTATTGAAAAGAAAGGCGACCATATTAAAATACAAAGGTTTCAAAGACTTATATGTGTTTATTTGTTCTATTATAAGCGTTGATCGGTTTTTGATGATTTCATTAGCTTTTTATTGAATTAAGAGGTAATTATTTGGTTTTGCCTAATAACGTCAGACGGTAGTTTTTTAGAATACATCAAATAACCACATTTTGTTCTGAGCTCTAATTTGATTGTTTCAAGTTTGACAATTTTTTTCAAAACAAATTTGTATTATTTAAGTTTATATAATTTGCTTAATAACTTCAGACAGGTTTTAGTCATTTACGTTGGCTTGGAAAAGAGATCATTCTATAAGGAACGGAAATATTTGAATATCCTGAATATAAGAGACTAGTAATTGTATTGACAAGGAAGGAAGGAGATATGTTTACAAAATAGATCCTTTTAAAACTTAAATTTTCCACCGGTATGCTAAAGACGCCTAACCTATTGTTTGACAAAATACAAGTACTCTCTTCAATAGTTACGTCGGCAAGATTCCTCCAGCTTATTAAAACTGCCGGCTCCAGTAACAGTTCTGTCGGGAAAGTTATTGAAAAGTTATTAAATGAAAGTTATCTTGAACGGCTACTCTTCTAGGTCCTTTTTTAGTTAATGCAGATGTCATCCAGAGCTCTATCCTTGAACCGACGTCAGTCCTAATTTTTATGAACAACCTTTTTGATGTCACCAGTTGTCAACTTTTCATCAATTCCAATGACGCAATTTTCTATTGCTGTCTTAATGGTAAGTCTGATCAGTTTGATAAGGTCAAATTGGTAGCTGATCTAAAAAAAAAAAACTTATCTACAATCTGAGGCAAGATGTGGTTCTACCAATAATTACTGAGAATTCTATAAGAATATATGAAAAACTAGGAAAGAAGACATTAAAAAAACTGCTACAATCAGAAAGAAACAAATTGCAGGTCGAAGGAGACATGAGGAAAGAAGAGTTGATAATGGTCACATTCGCAGAGCATCTTCCTTATCACATTGCGAAATGAAAGTTGTCTTGAATGGCCACTCTTCTAGGTCTTTTAGCATTAATGCAGGTGTTACTCCAGTGCTTTATCCTTCAATCTACATTGTTCTTAATTTTCATTAATGACCTTCCTGATGACATCAGTTTTCAACTTGGTATCTATGCTGATGGCGCAATTATTTACTCTTGGTTTAATAGTAAATGATCGGCACAAAAGGTCAAACTGGCAGCTGGTCTAAAAAAAATTCTCTATTAAATGAGGGAAGATGAAACTGCTCTCTTTTAATTATCTGAGAGAATCCATGCTGATATTAACTCCCCACCCAGGAGAGTGACTTGTTTTGCCTTCTCAGGCTAATGTTTTCTGCTGGCATGAAGTGGAAAATTATATTGAATTAATTGTTAGGTTTGCTGCTGGGAACATTAGTTCACTATGTCATGCTTGACAATTTTTCGCACCAGAATCTATTAAATACAATCATACATATTCCATTTGTTCATGCACTGAATAATGTTGTCACATCAGGTCTAGAGCTTCTGATATATATTTAGAGATTCTTGATAAAATATATCTGCCAATTACTGGCTCTTTCCCCACCACCATAATGTAACTTCCCAGTGCCTTTTCATGGTAATTGTTCTGATGAACTTTCCTCTATGGCACCTAGATTTTATGAATTTAATCGCAGTACTAGATTGGCGGCAAGGTCTCATTATTTCAGTTGAAATGGATAAATGTAACCATAAGTTCTATGCTAACAGTTTCTTCTCTTGCACTTCTTGCTTGTGGAACTCACTTCTGGATTCTTGCTTCCTTTTTGATCTTCAAAAATTCAAGTGTAATGTCAATCGTTATCATATATCTGAATCCTTGTTTCTCTCTCTCTCTCTCTCTCTCTCTCTCTCTCTCTCTCTCTCTCTCTAATGTTTTTTTTTTCCTTACAAATATTTACTGCCTTAATGGTAAGTCTAATCGGTTCGATACGGTCAAATTGGCAGCGTAGCTAAAAAAAAAACAAAAAAAACAAAAACAAATATCTGCAATCTGTTCTTAACTGGGGAAAGAAAAGACTTCTTAATTTTAACGCTTCAAAAAAAATAACTCTCTTTTAATCGCCCTAGCGAACCTTTTTTCCTCCATCATCATGGCTGATGCTAATCTCCTCCATAACGACTCCTTGCAACTTCGCGGGATTACGTTTTCCCCTGACATGAAGTGGAAACTTTATATTGAATGAATCGCTAGGTGTGTTGGTAGAAAAGTTGTTTCACTGCGTTGATAGATTTTAACGAGAGAAGTTGTATATCTAATATATGTATACGTCTACCATTTGTCCATACATTGAATATTGATGTCACCTCTGGTATTGTGCTTCTGTTTTGCATTTGGAGACTTTTGAAAATTCCAAAGAAGAATCTGCAATGTTATTAGTTCTGTCCTGGCATCTCAGCCTCAGTCATTTTTTCAACAACCATAACATAACTTCTCTAACCCTTTATATATATATATATATATATATATATATATATATATATATATATATATTATGGCGAGCTTTCCTCTTTGGTAGATAGACTTTATGAATTTAAAAGCAGTACTTGGTTGGCGGCAAGGTCTCATCATTTTATAGTTGACATTTCTATATATAAACGTAAGTTTTATGCTAAAAGTCTCCTATCTGCACTTCTCACTTGTGGAACTCTCTTCCGGCTTCTTGCTTCCGAGGTTGACTTTTGTCTTTAAAAATTTCAAATGCAATGTCAATCGTTATTTTCTGTTTTCCTAACGCCTTTTCTTTTATTGTTCTCTTTACTTGATAATGGCTTTCTTTATCTTATTTTATTTTACACTCAGTATCCACCTTGCATCGTAGGGGCTTTATTACCTTCCTTGTGATGAAATTATTTTTAAACAATGTTTGATTAACGTAGAACAGATAGATCTTGCAGCAGAGAAAAAACATTTAAAATGCAATAAGCGTGTCGTACCAAATAATTACTGTGGTGTGTAGAGTGAGTAAGAAATTGAAATAAATAAATTAATCGTGCCGGAACTTGTATTTGGTATAAAAACGCAGACATTCATTAATCCTTGAATTTCAGAGAGCAGTTTTCATGTACTACTTCACCCATCCCATACCTTTCTCTTTCTAGTATTTGCATAGGTGATAGTTTAGAGTCTTCTTCTTTGTGCCGTTTCACTCCAAGATGTGGGTGGTCAGGATTCTCCACAACGTCCTAACGTCTTGTAAGCCTCTAATAATAAATGGTTGCAGGCGTTAATATGTACAGGTTTTGTCTTGGTCAATTTACATGTGGTACGATGAATATTTGGTTCAATGCCAGAGTGGAATTCTAAATTTAAATAATGTAAATAAGCAATGGTTTCCGGAGGTGAAAGATTGACGCAACACAATCTTTCCAACCCATTCCAAGCCAATTTAACCATCCAGTATGCTGAACTAATCGATATTAGTTTATATTTGAACGATAAATATATACTTCCGATAATTCTAATTTGAGTCACTATCGACACTGATCGAATTAGAAAAACGTTAATGATACGGTTAAAAAGGAAATCTCATGATACAGATAAAAAGGAATGCGTAATGTGATTACTTATCTTATATAAGTAAAGAAAGAAAGGCAAAAAGAAAAAATATCGTAAAAGAAAGAAAGAAAGAAAGAAAGAAAGAAAGAAAGGCAGACAACCGGAAAGAATGAAAGAAAAAATTAGTTTTAAAAAGGTAGAAAGGAAAACTATTTCAGCCATGGAACAAAGAAAAGGGAGGAAGCGATAAAAAGGAAAAGTAAACAAATACCATAAAAGAAAGAAAGAAAGAAAGAAAGAAAGAAAGAAAGAAAGAAAGAAAGAAAGAAAGAAAGAAAGAAAAAAAGAAAAAAAGGACGAAAAAAGAAAGAAAGAAAAATAATGTAAAACTAAGAAAGGAAAACTATTTTATAGAAGGAAGGAAGAAAAGAAAGGAATCGATAGAAAAAGAAAGGAAAACAAATACCATGAGAAAGAAAGAAAGAAAGAAAGAAAGAAAGAAAGAAAGAAAGAAAGAAAAGGCAGGCAGACAACACGAAAGAATGAAAGAAAAAATAGTTTTAAAACGTAGAAAGGAAAAATATTTCAGAGATGGAAAAAAGTAAAGGAAGGAAGCTATAAAAAAGAAAGGAAAACAAATACCATAAAAGAAAGAAAGAAAGAAAGAAAAAGAAGAACGGACGAAAAAAGATAGAAAGAAAAACTAAGAAAAGGAAAACTATTTTATAGAAGGAAAGAAAAAAGAAAAGAAATCGATAGAAAAAGAAAGGAAAACAAATACCATAAAAAATAAAGAAAGAAAGAAAGAAAAAAGAGAAAGGACGTAAAAAGAATGAAAGAAAAATAATGTAAAACTAAGAAAGGAAAACTATTTTATAGAAGGAAGGAAGAAAAGAAAGGAATCGATAGAAAAAGAAAGGAAAAAAATAAACTAAAAGAAAGAAAGAAAAAAGAAAGAAAGAAAGAAAGAGAAAGAAAGAAAGAAAGAAAGAAAGAAAATAATGTAAATCTAAGAAAGGAAGACTATTTCTAAGAAGGAAGGAAGGGAAAGGAAAATGAAAAAAGGAAAAGATATCTCGTAAGAAAGAAAAAGTAAGAAATATATATCGTAAAAGAAAGAAAGAAATAGCATAAAAGAAAGACAGAAAAAAAAGAAATAAAGAAAAATGTAAGAAAGAAAATTTGTAAAAGAACAAATGCAAAATAGTCACGGAAAAGAAAAATGTAAGAAAGAAAGAAACAAACAAAAAAAGAAACAAAGAAAGAATAATATTGTGAGAGGAAAAAAAGTAAACTCATAGAAAGAAGAAAATCACGTCAGAGAAAGAAAGAAAAAAAAACTAGTTTAAAACGAGGCAAGAAAAACTCATCTGATCGAAGCAAGGAAAGAAAAACAAATGAAAGGAAATCTCGTAAGAGAAAGAAAGACAATCTCGTAAAAGCGAAGACTTAAAAATAGCTCCAAGTTTTACTTTATCCTACATTTCTCTAGTTATTTATTTATTTTTGTACTTCATTTGCTAATCATGTAAATCGAATTGGAAAATGCCGGCGAGAATATGCGATAAAGATTTCACATCCGACCACTCGTCTCCCTCCCTCGAGAAAATTTGGTGGCGACAATCAATGAGAGCTTTATTTCGTGTTATTTAGTATGTTGTCACTAGAGCAAGTGTTCACTTTTTGATTGCGTAGGAGGAAAAAAAAAACTAATAAACAAAAAAGAAAATATATTTTTTCGTAGATAGACCGTTAGATATGAATAAGAATGGTTGCTTGATTTTGCGAATTGCCAAAACGTGTTTGGTTATTTCACGTCGAATTATTAAGGGCACTGAGTACACCATTTATACAAATCTAACACGGAACTGATAGGTCCTGATATGGCATCTAGCCTACGATCTCTAACCCACAGACGTGCTACTTTCGCTGGTTCCTGAGCAACATGAAATTAAACGAGCTACCAGGCTGTCATCTCGGTCCAACCCTTTCAATGTCAAAACGGTTAAATGTAACCGTCTCTTCTTCTCAAAGAGCTTTTTTTCCCGCACTTCCCTTCTGTGAAACTCCCTTCCCCTTACTTGCTTCCCTGATGACTATAATATTCATATATTCAACTGTAATGTCAATCGTCATCTGACACCCTGAGCTTCTTCCGCGTCACGCATCTTTACTCTTGTTCTCAGTCCTCTGTAACACTTTGCATGCTATGGGCACTCTCGCCTTGCTTGGGTGAATTGTCTTAAAAAGGAAAAGAAAAATCATACATAGGATCCCTCGCTAAAGGTGCTGGAGATAATTTTGCTTCCGTGAATTGATCCAATTAGTGTCTGATAGGCTATATTTTTATAAGAGCAAATATCAGATCAATAATTGAGTATTGCTGTCAGATCTGGGCTGTGCCTGTTCAGACCTCATTATCTGGTCCCAAAGCGCCTAAACATACATACATGGATGAAGAATTATTTTTCCTTCTACAAGCCGTTTTCCAGAGATGAAACGTCTAAAGCTTCTCGATAAACTATGGATATATCCAGGGCAAATGTTCTAACGAGATACGAAGTGCAATCCGGAAGTTTTGGGACTATTTCAGGGGAGAGATTTATATTGCCAAATAAATTCACAATTCTAATCTCCATCAAAGAAGGATCCTCTGACATCAATATATGTATTGTAGCACTCCAGCCATTTCGCGAAATGCCCATGGAAGTCACTAAATTGAAGATGTTCAAGTTCCTTGTTACAGGCTTCTACATTTTCTCAATGTCTTCAAGACATGAAACGCCGCTGTTCTGTGTATGACGATAAATTACATCCGCGTCCAGGGTAAGACGTTAAACTACGTCCAACATCAGGCCCTCTGATCAGGAGGCTTTGAGGAGCGTGGTACCACCTCTTAATTGCTGATGTCCTCAGTTCCACCCTGACCCGCAGTGGTAGAACCTGTTAGGGTCTCAGCTATGGGCAAATAGTTAACCCCGAAACTGAGGTAAAAAGCATTTTGAAAGTGTAAAAATAGGTTTTAATACCACAAATACTTCGTATGAAAATGATTACCAGAAATATATTTATGAAGAAAAAAATATTACCAGCAATTGTTTTTTCAAAAAAAAAATTCTTACCAGCAATACATTTTTGAAAATAATATTGCTAACTCTTGTTATGGGATCTTACCCATAATAATAATAATAATGGACTATTCCATACTTAATAAATACTGCGCCTCAGGAGTCAGTAGTTCAAGTCGAGCCAAGAGTCGAGTCAGAGACAATCCGAAACAGAGTCGCGTTCAGACAATTACTGCAAGACATTGGAATAGTAATACTAGTCGAGACTACATTGTTCTCTCTACTAAACCTGATTGTTCATACTAACACTTCTACTTCTCTGTATATATTCCTGTTTGTAATATATATGTGTTATTCCATACCTGTGTTCGTGTTCTTCTTTATTGGTTCTACTTTGGATTATCACCCGGGGTACAAGGAACCGGACCTTAACAACTATACAGTTTGAGGAAAAAAATATTAACAGAAATAGATTTTTGACAAAACAAAAATATTACCAGGAAAAAAAAGGTTTCCGGCATTAAATGATCCATTGAGGTTGACATGCCGTAAAACAAACCAAAAAAAAAAAAAAAAAACCAAACATGCAACGCCCGCGGTTCTTCGACAGCATAGAGAACAACCAAGTGATAGGGAGCAATGTTTGACTGTAGTTAAGATGAGGAACTATTGCCATGGCCATCGCTGTCAACACAAATCTTTATTGCATAGTGAGCTTCAAAATGGTCTTCCCGTCCCGACTGCATTCTGTAAACTCATCAGCTGTGGCAAGCTGTGTTTAGTAGGGTGTGTTCAAAGAGCTGTTACAGCCATCTCCTTCAGTCTGATATGGTAAATGTTGGTAGGTCAGCTTATTCGATGTATAGTAATGATATACTAAAATTATTATAATCTAAGACAGCGAAAACTGCCCATCCTAAAATGTCTTAAAACTTCAGGGATGCACTTAGCGTTCCTCAGTTCCACCAGACGTATGGCCACATTACGATGAAATACTAGTTCCCGTACGATAACCGTAGTTAAGCAATGTCGAGCCTGGTCAGTAAAAGGATAATGAATAACAGGTGATATAATCTTGGATGTGCGGGTGGTGTAATGGAATTATTATTAGGAGAGCCGAGTTCTAATTCTGGTTGGGTTCGTTATATTTCTTTACACCGAAATAACTCTGGGAAAGGTATGAATCCACCTCTAAGCAAGCGATGGTTTAATTTCTAAGACATGGATCACTAAAAAAATTATTATCTAAAAAATTATTAGAATCTAAAAATATTTTCTTTCTTTAAATAACCCACAAAAGGTTGATAATCTGTAAAAAAAAAAAAAAACGAACCAATCAATCAATCTAATACTGATTAGCTCCACAGGCTTGTCTTTTAGATTTATTTTCATTCTTTGGAATATAAATATATTTGAACTACCACAAAATAAGGGATTGGTTTATATATTGATTGTAATATTAAGTACATAGCCATATTATAATTATAATTATAATTCTAGGATAGCTACATCGTTATTTTGGGTAACTGTGTCTGGTAGGTGCGCATACCATCTCTCAGTGGTTTCGATTTTGTGCTTTTTGGATATTTTCCAGTGCACATATGACTCTACCTATTATACATAGATAAAGCCCTTCTTAAGGTGAGGGCTGTACTCGTGAGAAAAAACTGTTTGTATTTCTTTAAGTCATGGACTTCCAGAAATCCCTTCAATTAGTCTACTGGAATCTTTTCCATCAATCCGAGGGTTCCAACTACAAAAGGGTTTGTTGATGTTCTCATGTGCCACATTTTTAAGATTTCAATTTCAAGGTCCTTGTATTTTGATAGCTTTTTGAAGGATCTTCAAAGATACATTGCAGTCTGCAGGGACTGCGATATCAATGAGGAGGCAATTTTTTTGTTTGTTTGCGGTCTCTAATAACAATGTCTGGGCGATTAGCTTCGATTGTTCTGTCTGTGTGCATTGTACAGTCCCATAAAATTGTTACAGGTCCTACCTCCTTAACCGTAACCGATCTTGAGTGATCTTCTTCTTCTTCCTCTTCCTCTTCTTCTTCTTCTTCTTCTTCTTCTTCTTCTTCTTCTTATTATTATTATTATTATTATTATTATTATTATTATTATTTGATTCTGAACAATGATAACGTTTCGAAACTTTTAGTCAATCACCGATAAGTAAAATGAACTTTTTATTTATTGTCTATATTTGTGTGTATGTGTGTGTACGTGTGTGTACGTGTGTGTGTGTGTGAGAGAGAGAGAGAGAGAGAGAGAGAGAGAGAGAGAGCCTGTATGAGTTGGTATTTGATAATTGAATGAAAAGTGGAAACATGTCTACCTCACCAAAGGTCTTCATCTGATTAGTATAATGCTTTTATTCATTGGAATATATATTTGTAGGAGGAGAGGTAGATACAGATATAAACATCGGTTATAATTATTCATCAAGGTGATTGAATTGCCATTTCTGACGTCTTATCAACCGTTTTCGTCTTATTTAAAGCGGAAACATATGTTTAACTGTAAGTAATAATTGCTTTAACAATTTCTTGCGAATAACAATTATTTTTTCATATGAAAGTACTACTATTTAACCCTTACCTGGAGTGGATATTGATTCATAGCTTTCCTAAGGGTATTTGCGCGTAAGTGTATGTAATGAACACGATTAAAATTCGAAACCAGATTTTCAATTTCTATTAGGTTGGCGCAAAAATAATGACGTAATAATGTCGTTTTTTGACGTATTTTTAACGTACTTTTAACGTATTTCAAGTATAGGCGGTTAGCATTGATTGTTCCTTATTATTATTATTATTATTAGCTTTTTATCAAGCAGAGCTTATGCTGTAAATTAACGATCAGGAACAAATCATAAGAAATGGTAAAGGGCCTTGTCATTTATTCCTCTCGCTACATGAAGAAAACCATTCTAAGAATTCAGTGTTGTCTTCAGAAGAATTTCAATTCGAATCAGTTCCAGTTTTGACCAGCCAATCGTATCAACGCTCAAAACAAATTGAACACTTTCCTATTTCTTTGATTCCCCACAAGTCTCATGTTTCAAATCTTGATACGTTTTCCTCTTCGTCTAGTCTTTCTCAATTACCCTTATGTCTCATGGTAATGCTATATCGATGATCGAACATTTTGTCTTCCTTCCGAAGAGCAATGATGTCTGACCGTTTTTTTTTTAAATCCTTTTACATCAAGCAAGGCGATAATGTCA